CCCCAAAACCCCAAAACCCCAAAACCCCAAAACCCCACGAAGAGAAATTCGAATGAATATATATTACAAAATAAAACATGGGCATTAGTAATTCGATCGCTCCAAAAATTGAAGATTACAGAATTGAGTATCATGATGTGGCATTTTCAAGGTGTTCTTTCGGAATTTACAATGGGAAGAAACCTCTTAAAAAGTAAACATCTTTGAGAAATAGGCTATAAATTGAGGTTCCTGTTAGGTTTCTAAGATCAATAGTTCTTAAGAGTTGTTATATTTTTTAAACCCAAATCATAGAAGAAGTTTGTATTTTCCATCTCGTGTTTAACCACCCTCATAACCACTTATTAAGTGCTCCTTAATTTGAAGCCCATAAGTTTGAGTGAATTCTTGCTTAATAATTCTTTTATAGGATGATTCATATTTAAAGTTCCAGATTTCGGTACAGAAACTATTAACTGAAGCAGCTCCATCCTCACAGTAGGCTGGCTTCTTTCTGAAGTAACCAGGAGGTACAATGAGAAATGATCTAGGATGACTAAATTCAGGTATATATCAATTTTTGTGAAATTTTAAAATACCTTTAAGTAACTTATGAAACCAATTTCTTATTTTTAATACTAATTGCTCACTAAGAAGCCTAAAACCAAGATATCCCTGGAATTTTCTGAAAACCTAATACAAACTCAAACTTACCAACATATATAGTGGAGTTTACCATAAGAGAAGGCTTATAGTTGGACTAAAAAGTGTGAAGACTATCCCGGCATTGGACTATTACCTCACTCAACTAGGAAATACGCTCGAGCCACTTGAAGATAATACCACTCTGGAAGTCCACTTCTCCAAAAAGAAATCTAAAAAGTTAGGTGATTATGGCAGGGCCAACGTCTCAAAGGAAGACTTCGAGTACCTCAAGGTGATCGGAAAAGGAGGTTACTCTAAGGTTACCTTAGCCAGGAAGAAGGATAGCGGTCGGATATATGCAGTCAAAATTATGAAGAAGGCAGATGTCTTTAACCGAACCAAAAGGAGCTTCTTTAGGTCTGAAGTCCAAATCCAAAATTCTCTAAAAGAATGCAACTTTATAGTCGATCTTTATTATGCGTTTCAGACTCAAGATGAGCTGTATCTTGCAATGGATCTTTGTGTGGGAGGAACTCTGTTCTATTTCTTGAACCAACTAGAGCCAGGAATCAAAAATGAGCAAGTTGCGAAGTTTTACCTAGCTGAGATCATCATAGCAATGGAGTTCATCCATTGAAAGAACATTATGTACAGAGATCTGAAGCCAGAGAACGTCCTGATTGATATAGACGGACATATAAAGATTGCAGATTTTGGATTAGCCAAGAAACTCAGGCATCCTGAAGATCTTAGTTCGACATTTTGAGGTTCACCTGAATATTTAGCACCCGAAATGTTACTTGGTGCAAAGCATGATAGAAGAGTTGATTTTTACACACTCGGATGCCTCAGTTATGAACTTTTAGTGGGAATCCCACCATTTTATGCAGAGGATAAGCAAGAAATGGCAAGGGAAATTCTTTCAGGCACCCTATTCTTCCCAAGTGGAGTATCTGAAGAAGCCAGAGATTTAATGAAATGGATACTGAGTAAAGATCCTCAAAACAGGCCCTCGAGCTTTAGTGAGATTAAAAACCATAAGTTCTTCGAAGACATTCACTGGGGAAAGTTCCAGAGGAAGCAAGTTGTGCCTCCATGGCTTCCTAATTTGTACAACTGGCATTATAATCCGAAATTTATGAATATTCCTCTCGATCAGGCCTTTGGTGAAAAGGTCGACAAGCAAGAGCTCGAAGATAGAGAAAGCTTTTATATTGAGATAAACACAGATAGTGTGATGATTGACAAAATCTCCTTACTTGAACATGAATACGGATCGCTCGTTGGTCAAGAGAGATCGCCTGGCCAGATTTACGAGTCCACTGACTGAAAAGAATACCTCGAAAATTTCGATTTTGAGCAAGATCCTGAAGAAGAACTTTATATTAAAGAGCAGATTGAAGGGTATAAAAAGAGATTTAATCAACTCAAGAAAGCCAAAAGTGAAGAATCGAAAATACCTGAATCTATAGATGAGTCTTTTGAGTTTAGAGATACTGATGAATCATACTGAGGCTCTCTCAATGCCAATAGAATCAAACAATCAATGATTTCTGATAGAATGCATGGTTTTGGGGTTGAAAAAAATGAGAGAAAATAAGAGTGTAATCAATTCTATCATCAGACATAATTTATCCAGTGTTAAGAAATCGAAAAGAATTAGAGATTCTTCATTCAATACAGTATGCATGAATCCAGACGACACAAATGCTTCAAGTTTGTCTCATGATAATGACATCAATCCGAAGGATGGCTATAAGCTCACAAAATTTAATAGTCAGATGAGTCTTTCTCCTACAAAATTGCGTCCAACAAAGTCTATAATGCAGAAGAAGAATACCGAAGAGGAAAAAGTAGAGTCAGGGACAGACGAGAATAACTATTTAATAAATAACCATAAAATGACTAGATGCTCTTTTAAAAGATATAAGAAATATCTGAACAGGCCTCAAACGACCAAAAATAACTATGAAAGGTATGATTTGATTCTAAGTTATAGAAAAACTTACAAAAAAGGATATATGGCTTGAAAATCAACCTACTTGATTAAGCCGTCAACTAAGCCTCATAAGAAGCCAAGAGCAGTCTTGAAGAAGGAGAACTGCTCAGTATCCAACCTTAGAATGCCATCGAACAAACTAATTAATGATATAGGGGAGATTACTTCCCTTAAGAGAAGCTTGAAGGCTGGTCCTGAGAAGGCTTAAGAAGATCCTCCTTCAAAATATCTGATGATCTGTATTCATCTTGCTATATTTAACTTATTAAATATGTATTTCAGCTGAAAGATCGTAGTAAGGGGTTTTGGGGTTTTGGGGTTTTGGGGTTTTGGGGTTTTGGGG